AAGGTGGAAAACTGCAGCAACACTACCGGTGACCCACCGGAAAACTCCGCGTCCAGCCAGACAGCCGCCTCGACGCCGAGAGGCATGTACAACAAGGCTGCCCTGCTGAGGGCAGCGAAAATTAAAAGCGAACACCCCGCGGAGAAGCGTCGTGAGCTGTCCAAACGGGAAGAGGAGGCAAAGCCCTCGAAGCCCAAATACAACAGACCGGTAGTGGACATGCGTTCGTTGGATGAAATCGTAAGTTATAAACCGGTGTGTCTGATGATGAAATGCTTTTTATCCTGAACAGTCACGGAGCAATCAGCACAACTCCTAGAGATTGGCAGCGATCTGCACATTTTAAGACGTGCTTCGGTAAATTCGACTATTCTCAGTGGTTCCGTTAGGCTGTAAGTGCGATCGCCATTACAAAAAATACCCTCCTCAAAGCACTGTTGAACTGATTATATTTTGATATCTAGGTGATCAAAAAGAATAAGAGGTTTGACAGAACGCGTGCCTTGTAAGCACTGACCACGAAGATGTCTCTGGGTGGCTATAGCAACTTGACTGCCATAGGGATGCTCAAAAGTACAGCAATTTATGTATAGGGTACACGAGGTTCTTTGCAGGACGGACCTTAATTTACCCACGTTCTGCCTAAGCCGAAGCAACCAAACTGTAAATGGAGCCATTAGGGATGGAGAGACGTTCAAGATAGAAATGTTATTTCCGTGGGGGTTGAGAGGGCAAGAAAGGGTGTTCTGGTATTCATTCTCTGACAGCCTGAATGTGTGCTCAAAATATCTGGCGCGGTAACCTTTCGTATTTTCATTGATAATAGTTATTTTCGAGCAGCTTCATCTACCAACTAACGTCAGACTTATTTCCACAGATACCTTCCACTAAACATATTCTGGATACTGACACAGAGACTGTTGCTACTGACCTTAAAACACAGAAAAACGTTGACTGTGAATTAGGAGTTACACAACTGTGGTATCAGACATTGCCTGTATGACGGCTCAATGCAATAAGATGACGCTCTCGGTTGAGGGACTGCATACATTTGACATATATACGGTCTTTGCGGTCACCCCTATTGTAGCCTACGAGATTGTTTGACGTCATAACATAAATGACGTTTGCTGCCGAATACGCAAAGAAAGGGTGTGATTATGTGGCGCAAGATAGTTGCGCTGGGGCCTATATTCTCTAAGACCAAATCCCCATTTTCAATCATCTCTGTCACGACCACCAACAGCACTGCAATCAACTACTACTGTTCAGAAGTAAAACATGTGATC